GATAATAGATATTTAGGAGCTAACAGAGTGAGAAAAGAAAATTGGCTTAACTCTGTAAAAGTGCTATTGATTGTAGTTATTTAAGCTCAGTTGCGTGCAGCTCAGTGGTAAACAGGCCTGTGCTTCTATACAAGTGCACATATCATTAAATGTTAGCTTTTAGTGTTCATTTTATTTGATTGACGTGGTCTGCTACATACAAGTGCAAGCCATGAGCCTAAAGTGGTGGGATTCACATATAGTTGATGTGTCTGATGTCCTAGTTCTTTTGGTGGTCTTTTCAATTATTTATACCACTTGGATTAATGGTTATTGTCCTATTGCCCTTAGGAATGTGGCCCAAATGCCCACATCAGCATCCTACTTCACCACGTGACTCCACTATGGTTTTGGTTTCTTCCTATCTCCAGCCATGATCTTGGGGTCGTTTCTTTCCTGTCTCGGGAATGTTCCTGCCCCTGCTCCTGGCTTCCTGCTAACTCATCCTTTAGGACTTTGCTTTAGGTGCCTTCTTCTTCTCTCCCTTTCCTCCCTAAGACGAGACCAGATGCTCCTCTTACCGTCTCCTTATACTTGACAGTTCCTCCATTTAAATTTTTTCACTCTATTGACATTGATTGCTTACCTCTCTGTGTTGCCTTCTAGACGTGAGCCCCTTGGGAGGAGGGAGTTTGTTTTATCCATTGTTACATCTGTGCTTAGTACGGCACATGACACTTAATAAGAGCCAATAAAATTTTGTTCAATAAATAAATGAATGGGTAAGCCCTTCTCTCCTTTTCAGCCCCGAGCACACTGCTTCTTCATTCCTCAGAGGAGAATGGCAGGCTGGTTGGAATAAGTTATTTTCAAGGCTACTGTGATTAATGTCCAAGATCATGCTAAAATTTGGCCATTTTTTTTGCTTTATTAACATCAGCCTGGCTGTATCCCCAGCCTTCATTTCATTGGCATAATGCAATCCCTCATTATTGTTTCATCGTGAGTTTCCAAGTATAAGAACAAAGTAAAATGCCTCTGCTTTATTTTAAAATGCCCGGGTAGATTGGAATACAGTGAAGACATATTAGGAATTAATTTTCATAATTAAAGAACAGAGTTAGTTAAACGCTCATGGGTCCAGAGTTTTATTTTATTCCCCTGATGTCCTGGTAAAGCATCATCATAACATTCGGTCTATAGTAAGTTCCCAGTAAATGTGAGCTAGTGTCTTTATAACCACCTCCTTAATCTTCTTCCGCTACCCATTCCTCCCCCTTTAAGCACTGATCTTAGGAAAATAGACTTCAGACTCCAAAGAGGATAGAAGACGGAGCACTGAGATTTAATTCATTTCTGAAAAAGGGTTAGACGCTCCTCCTCTCTTACATGCACTAAACCTCAGTCCTTCTTCTTAAGCTTCAGCTAAGTTCAACAGGTGGTTCTTGTCCATCGTCTGTGTGCCCAGAACGGCAGTAGGCTGATCTAGTGCAACTACCGGTGTGATTACAGCAGTCTGCGATGTTGCCAGTCCTTAAGCAGCTTCAGAGGCTGTCTGCAACTGCTCCCTTAGGGACTGGTGCTAAGTATCCCCATAAACTCATTCTTAACACTGGTCTCTGTGCCTTTAAAAAGGCTCTAACACCCCGTGTCTCATCAACTCATTCTCTCTTTGTTTCCAGAACAGAAAGCATGTTCCACTGGGAGTAGACAGTCACAGCCTATACATTAATCTCCACAGTGGAGTAAAGAAGAGCCTACATTGCATGTATAGTATACATAAACACTATGAGACACAGTTTGCAAAATATAACCCAATCTCATGAGTCCACAAAAACTACAGCAGACTCCAAGAAGCCTAAAGACGGCCTGTCACACCTCAGTGGAAGTTACATCCACTTTATTCTTCTGAAGCCTACTTTGCAAATCAAATCTATATCGAAAGCTAAGGCTTTTGCTTAAATTCACACAGCAAATAAATCATGAGGCATGCCTGGATTTCATTTCTCTAAGTTCTCCTGCTGTGTTTAGCTATTGTGGAGGTGGCCAGATGGGAATTAATGTTGCCAAATATTTTGCAATACTGTTGCACAGTGAGGTGAACTAAGGATACAACTTTAATTTGGGTGTCAGATTTCTTTGTGGACATTATAAACCCTTTAAAGTTAAATAAATATCAGCGTCCTTCTGTGTGGGTACAAGATAGGATCAGCTGTAGAAGGGACAAGAACATTAGGTTTCTACTTGGTAGGCTTCTGCCAGCACCTGCTGAATTTATGTGTGTCACAGTCCCTAGTTTCTATGTACTGAAGGATGTGATGGGGAGTAGGGGGGATGGTGTACATACAGGTTGGCCATTTGTATGAGACATTTGTAAATCTGGGACTGCCTCTTTTGTATTTGTGAACACACAGATTATCTTTTGCATGTTGATGGAAATGTGAGTTTGATGGATGTTCCTTTATGAAAGATAAGATGATAATTAGCAAAAACAGAACAATGGGGATTGCAGGTCTCAGGAGAGGAAACAATTCATGGGGAAAGCAGGAAATGTGAACCTAAGAAAAAAAGATGGAAATGATAAATCCAACCACAAGCAAAACTATAGTGGTATAACAATAATAGATATTAATCTGTAGACTGTTATTTGGTTAATGATAAAGCAGAGAAGTATCTTCCGGATACGCTGGAAAGGAAAATGGAGAGGCTATAACTAAAAACACAGGAGAAAAGACAGAGCAAGTTTAAAGGGCAGGTATATATTTGTGAGACAGTCTCATTAGATTTGGGTAAATCCTCTCAAAAAGATGTTGTCAAGAACGGGGACCAAGAAAAGGTACCCCAGCCTGGGGTGGAACCGTTTAGACCAGGATAAGCCAGACTTATGTCTGGGATGCATGCCTGAGCTGAGTGTGTCTCATCACGATTCCTACCAAGATGTGCACCTGGGAAGCTTGGCAAGACAGGAAATAAGTGTCAGCCTATTCTGCCTCCTGGGGACACAATGAATAGTAGTCTCCTGCCCATAATGAGCTCAGAGAGTGGTAGGGGAGATATACATCCCAATTTAAGGGCAAACATCCAACTCTCACTATTTTTCAGTCGCATTCATATTTTTGTGCTTTTCATTTGAAATTGTGGGTTAACAGGCCTTGGACATTTAAAGGGGTTTTAACCACCTGCAGATGGGGGGGAAGTTGCAGGAAGTAAAGGAATATCAGGTGGGCTTTCGTGATGTCTCTAAAATCCTACTGTTGATTGCCAGGCAACATTCCACCTACTTCCTTGTTGTCAGAGCTCCAAATTTGGTTTGGAATCTTCCTCCAAATTCTGCAATTG